CTCCAAGTCTCGAATCCGATAAGTACCACAGCCTCTTACCACCGAAGTCCAATACTGATCTCTGTCCAACTAGTATGAAGTCTCCAATCTGAAGAAGAAGAAGAGGAAGTCTGAGGAAGGAGAAGAAGAAGAAGAAGAGAGTCGAGGAGGAGAGAGAGAGAGAGGGGACTGGCGACGGGAGGGAGGACAGAACCCCCGGCCCCCGATACCTCAGGCAGCTATGGCCGCCGATCTGCTCAGTCGCCGCTGCTGCTGCTCCGCTCGCTGCCGCTGCTGCGATACTGCTGCCGCCGCTGCTCCTCGTGCTCCTGCGCTAAGAATAGCGCTAGCGCTCTGGCGCTATACCATAACGCACCGCTAGAGTGTCGGTGGTTCGATCCTGAAGTGAGGCTGGACCGGTACTTTTGTACCGGTGGGGCAGAGGCCGGCCTCTATGCTGCGAGGCCTGGCCGTGCCCTGAACCGTCAAGATTGACGGTTCAKCCCCAACCGGYGGGCGGCAGCCTCAAGAGCGCCGCCAGGCCCAAACGGTAATGTYGTTTGGGCCTGCCCGTCGGGTCTGGTCCAAAATGAGGCCTTTACGGCCTGTAGTACCCCAAGGTCGGGCCTTTAGGCCCTACTGTGTCCCTCTGGCCCTAAGTCGGGTCCGGTAGGTCCCGTGTGGCGTCAAAGATGTAACACACTCCCCCTCTTAAAAGACCGAGCCACTTGCGAGGGCGAAGTTGTCTGTCCGATACCGGGATGGGTCGGGTGGGACGAGCTGCTTCCTTGGCAAGGCGTCGCTTCTCATAGTCGGCGAAGATAAGGGGTGCAGAAGTCTGCAAGTCTGCACTAGAGATCCACCAAGTGTCGTCAGGCGCACATTGCTTGAATGTGACTTTGAACTGCATTTGCTTGTTGCCATACTTGCGGTGCGTGATGACTCGGTCCACTTCCTGATGTCCGTCCATAGAAGGCGGATCCTGTGATCGACGGTCGGGGAACTCGTCGGCGGAAGGTGGCGTGTTGATGGCCAGCTTCGACGTGTGGAAGATCCGGTGCACTGTAAGATGCGGAGGAATGTTGACCACAAAGGAAGGACCTGCGGGGTCGTCTCCAACGGCAGAAGTGACTTCCCATGGTCCAAACCATTTCGGAAGGAGTTTGCGCGAAACGTCCTGCTCGAGCGCAAATTCCTCGGAGAGGACCCAAACAAGGTCTCCCTCGCGGAAAGGACATGGAAGTCGACGTCGGTTAGCTTGCTGCTGCATGCGGATTTGAGCCTTTTGCATATTCGCGCGGGCTTTGATCAGCAAGTCCCGGTACTTCCGAACGGAAGCGGGAGAGCAAGGGACGTCTATGTCGGCAGCCTGTGGCAAAAGGAGATCAGCGAAGATCATTGCTTTCTCTCCACCATGATGTAGCTTGAATGGTGTGACGCAGATCTCCGGGTGCACCGAAGTGTTATAGGCGAATTCGATGTCGGGAAGTCGGTCAACCCAATCTTTCTGGTCGGGACGGATGAGCGTACGCAACATCATCTGAGCGGTCTGATGCCCTCGCTCCGTCTGGCCATCCGTCTGCGGGTGCCGAGCCGAGCTCGGCTTCGTTGTCGTACCGGACTCAGCCATGAGGGAAGTCCAAAAGGCCGACATGAAGCGAGTATCTCGGTCGCTCACTATGTCTTCCGGAACACCCTGGTTGGTAATCCAACCGGTGTGCAAGAGTCGTGCGAGCTCCGGCTTTGCAGCATGATACTTGCAAGGAAGGAAGCGAGCATACTTGCTCAAACGGTCAACCACCGTGAGAATACCGTCATGGCCATGACGATCGCGGGGGAACGGGCCTGTCATGTCCATAGCAATGGAGAGGCGCGGTGCCCGAGGAATCGGCAACGGTTTCAGTTCGCCGAAGGGGACTCGAGATCGACCCTTGTTATGGTGGCAAACTGCACATGACTCAATGTACCTCGTGACGTCATGAAGGACGTCGGGCCAGTGAAAACGCTGGCGGAGGCGTGCTAGTGTGCGGTTCACGCCAAGGTGTGCCGAAAGTCGTGCGTCGTGGAATTCGCCGAGAAGACGAATCCGTAAGATGCGATCTTGGGGCACAACTAGCAAGTCCTTTCCTCTCGTGTGAAGGAGAAGGAACCCGTCGGAAATCCGATAATGGCTAGCCGGCGGGTGATCCAATGAGAGCTCCGCGTAAAGCGTCGAGTAAGTCGGATCGGACTTGTAACCTTTGACGAAATGCGGCTGCAGGTCGTCATCGAGGTCGAATGCCGTGGTCACAATGGCACAAAAGTCGGGCCGTCGTGAGAGGGCGTCCGCAGCTCGATTGGCGGGACCGGGAATGTGGCACGGGTCAAAGTCGAACTGGTCGATGTAATACATCCATCGATCGATCGTGCTAGTGACCGTATCCTGCGTTTTATAAAAGGTCAACGGATTGTTGTCCGTATTCCATTTAAAACGCCGACGACCGAGAAGAAAGTGGCGCCACCGTTTGAGAACGGTGACGAACGCGAGTAGCTCTTTCTTCCTAGCGTCGTCGAGACTGAGAGGCACCTTTTGGGAGAAATACTCGACCGGATGCCAACCGTCCTCGTGACACTGTTCCAACACCGCACCAATACCATATCCCGAAGCGTCCGTAGTCACTTGGGTGGGAAGGGTGGGGTCGTATATACGGAGGGCAGGTGCGGCTTGCAT